TTACAGGTGTTTTTCTAAGCACAACTAAAAATAACTATAGTAGTACATAGAAACTATATAGTAACACTATAGTAAATATTGCATTATAATATAATAAATATTAATTAACTATAATTAAATTAATTGTACCATTGTTTTAAAGTGTCCTAGAGCATCTGAGGCATTTGGGGCATGACCTGGGTCCTTTGGTCAAGGCCCTTGTAACACTAAACAACTATATTTTTAGATATTTTAACAACTATTGACTAAAATAAAATACTATATGAAATCAATTAATAAAATAAATATCAACCTATTAAATAGACAATTAAAACTAATAAAATAATTTATAAACTATATAAAAATTTTAGAAAAAATATAAAATATAATATAGAACTAAAAATAAATATATACTAATATAAAAAAAAAGTAAATTCTATTACAATACTAGCATCTTAAGAACTTTAAAGATATATTGTGAGATTGTATTTGTATAATAGTATTTATAAAGTTGAATGTAGGTGTAAAATTTGTGTTAGATATTAATATAGATTTGTTTGAGTTAACTTTAATGTTTGCCTTCTGGTAAAATGTTGAAGCTATGTTAAGAATGTTTTAGAGTTGTTGTTGAAAGTTTGCAATTTACAGTATATTATATATTATTTTTTTTAATATTAAGGTGAAGCCTTGCTCTTATCTTTATTTATAGTCATTAAGTAGTAACTACATAGAGTTACTGAATACAAAAAGAAGTTCTATATATGCTATAGCTAAGACTAATACTTGTAATCAGAGCTGACTATTAAACCACTAACTATAAAACTATAACTCTAAATAATATAAATGCTATATACAAGAGTAAGAGCTTAGACATATTTATCTGTAGTTTAAACCTACTAGAGTGGCTAAGGCTCATCTGATTAGTTAAAATTTTCTTAATAATTTTCATTACTCTAGTATATACTAGTAAGCTACTTATACTATCAGAAGTTAATTACATCTTTATAAAGAAAAGAAACCAAAAGTAAGATAAATTAAATAAGAAATAAAGTATAGTTAAAAAAGTAAAAAATAATGTTGATTGAATAAGCAAATAGATAAAGAAAGTTAACAAAATTGTAAAAGTATAGCTAGAATAAGTAATATAGATTAGATAAATAGATAGATAAAGAGAAGTTAACAGAAATGTATAGATATTGCTAGAAAAAAAGGCTATCATCAAGTTCATCAATAATTTTAGATATATTAAAAGTATAAATAAAGTCAGTTTCTAATACTGTAAGTATAACAATATTAAGTTTTTTGATAATATATTAGCTTGCTTGATTGAAATATGACTTGTTAAGGTTTTTTTAAGTTAAGTAATAGTTGGTTTAGAGATTTGGATGATATCATAATAGGCAATGATTCTGGCTAGAATATATGAATCGCTTGTTTGAGAGAAGATTTTGTTTAATGCTTTTTTGAGATTGAGATAATAATTTTATTGTTTGTTGCTGCAGATTTAAAGTAAGCTTTAAGATAGCAGTAAAAGAAATAAGATATATGTTTAGAATTAGTAGATGTATTGTTTAGTTGGATAAAGATTTGTTCAGATTGGTTAGCTAGTTTATAAAGTTCTTTAAAAAGAAAGAGTTTATAGAATGTTGCTAAGGTAAAAGTAGAAAGATTTAAAGACAGATATATATATTGTTGAATAGGTATAGTATTAAAGAATTGTTTAAAGTAGTAAAAAGTTAAATTATAGATATTATAAGTTGTTTTTGAATTAAGAAATTTGCATTTTTCCAGATTGGTGCAGATGTATATATGGTGTATTACTGTTTTGGTAGCATAGTTTGTTTGGTCTTGAATAGATCAGATAGTTGGTAGTTTAGGTTTTTGAAGAATTAGTTTTTTGTAACTTTGTTGTACTAGTTATGTTTGATGTATTATATTGTTCTTGGCATTGTGGCAACCATATTTTTTTATATATTCTTTGTGATTTTATGCATTAGGTAGACTAATAAATTGTGTTTTGATTTTGGTATTCACACTATTTTGTTTATATGTTTTGTATTGTTTTGTACTAATATCCCCAGTATTACTTTTGTTAGTTTAGTTTGTATATCAGTTAAGCATATGTTTTGAGTAATTATTATTATTATCTGATGTTGTATTTTGTTGTCTGTTATGACTTGCTTAGCCATGATTTTGTTTACTGTTTCAGTTATTATTTTTCTTAAACTTGTGCTATTGCAGCTACATGTTAGCAGATAATACACATAACTCTGATTATATCGACATTTTTGAGACATTAGTAAAAATTTTCAAAATGTCGATACAGTGAGTTATACTGACATTTTATATTAAAATTTTGAAAAAAAATGTCAGTATAAAAAGATTTTTCTATAATGTTGTTATATTCAGATGTCAGTATAACTAGAGTGACATGTAGTTTCTTTCTGTTATATTATAGCATCATATACATGTTGGATTAGGATATTTTTTGTTATCTCACTTATGTAGAACTTCTAGTGTTAGCAGTTTTTTTTAGTAGTAGTTTTATTTTGAAGGCTTTTAGTTGAGAGTATTTGGGATTAGTTTGTCTTTGTGTTAAAGCACATTGATAGTTTAAATAGTTGTAAAAGAAATTCCAATCTAGGTTTTTGTGATTAGTGTCCCAAATTTGTGTTCTTGCTTGTGATTGCCAGTGTGCTATATAGTTAGCATTGTGATTATGACAGATGAATTTTCTAATGTTGTTTTCAATTGGTTTGTTTTCCATATGGGATAAAGAATGTGTTATATTGTATATTTTTATGATTTATATCTGTTTCTATAGTAGGAAAATCTAGCTGTGTTAAGTAATAGGATTATTAATTATAAATATGTAGTGTAAGTCTTTTCTTGCAACTATTGCTTTTTATGTTAGCCAGCTTGGCCAGTTGTTTAGATGGTAGATTTGATATATGTTTTCTGTTGTAATTGTATTAATTATTTTTGCTAGTTTTATAAATTGTATTTTGTTTGTAATAACTTTCACCTTTGATCCATAAGGTGCAATAATTGAACTAATTATTAAAGTTGTAACTAGTGTTTTAATTATAGAGGGCAATCCAGAAGCTATTATTTTGCATTGTTGCTTTATTAATAGGATGTTGCATACTATCATATCTTGCTATATATTGTTGATTATTTGTTGTTTTTAAATAAATTAGAATGTAATATGTTTATACTCTTTGTATTTTTGTTGTAGGTTTTGTATATAGTTAGCAGCTTCTGAATTTTCTATTGCCTCATTTGCTAGTCTGTAATGTCTTAGCAGTGTGCTTTGGTTCTTTACTGTTTTTTTATCATTATTGTGTTTAGTTGTTTGTCTTAGATCATTCATATTTGCTCTAATAATCTTGTTGCTATCAACTACTATTTTTTGAAGATTGTATATATTATCTTTTCTTGTACATTTTTCTTTTTTTAATTTGGGATTATTCTATTTGCAACCTGTGCATGGTTTTAGTTTGTTGGTTGTATTGTCAATAGTTTAGTAATTAATTATTGCTTGTTTGTTCTTTGTTGATAATATATGTTCAAAGTAGCTGGTAGGTGTGTTATGCTTCATTATCTATATTTCTTTTTCAAGTGTTTGATAATAAATAAATGTATATAAATTGGATGTAACCAGGTTATAATTGTTGTCATCCAGGTTTTGTTTTATGATGTTTGTTATTATTTTATACTATTTGTGTTCTTTTCTTCTTAATATGTGAAGTATTGTATATGGAATTTATATCCAGGTTAGTGTATTTGTATTGTTGTAGTTAGTGCATTGTTCAATTGAGTATAGCTTTAGTTTGTTTAGTTTAGTTTTAATTGCATGTAGTTTGTTTATATACTGGAGTACAAGTTCTATTGTTGTTCTACTAAATTTTATTGATATTGGTAGTGCTTCGATCTGTATCTGATCAATTCAGATAGATCTGACAATTTGGATTAAATTCAGATATTCAGATTCATTAATTTTAAATAGATAGATCCATAATATATATTGGATTAAGAATAATGATAAGGATTATTCAAATTGTAATCCTAGATATTGTTATAATAACTGCCAATGCATGATATATATTTGTTGCTAAACTTAGTAAAAAAGTAAATAAATATTGTTTCAAACTGTAGTGGTTAAATTTTAAATTATTATTAAAAGATATCATTATGAATAGTATAAATTGACAGCCAGCCTTTCTTTTTTTAATATTGTTATTTTTGTACTAAATATTAGTTATAGAAACTAACTGGTTTAAATTTCATTTTGGACAGTACTCTTTAAAAAATTGCAAGCCTTATACATATAGTATCATTAAATCAATGCAATCTGAATTTAGGGCTCATTTAATATAATGGCAATGTGTATATCAGATAAATCTGCAAGTTGGTGCATATAATAAATATGCAGTAGATTATATAAAAGGAAGAGAATTAGTATGTATGTACATACATATGTACTCTTTTTCTTATCATAAATATAAATCGAAATATATATATCGGTATCATATAATCAATAAAGGGTATAAAGTGGAGCATTAGTAATTAAAAAAGGTGTTGTTGATAAAGTTATAAAATACAATACAAAATAATAATAATAATAATAATACTATTGTAATGTAAAAAAGCTGAATTTCTTAAGTAACATTCACATCAAGTTTCTAAATATTGGAGACAAAATTCCTTATTTTGCCAATCCCAATAGTAAATTAAGTGCAGAATTTAATGTTAATTATATAGCAGGTTTTATGCAGAAATAAACAGAAGCAATGATCACAGTAATATAACTTAAAATGATAAAGGTATTACTAATTCTAGCCATTGTATTGAGAAAATTAACAGGAAAATTGTTATTGTGTATTAAAGCTTAATTAATAAACTAAATATGATTTGGTTTTTATGAAATGCCAAAATTAAAAGAACCCATAGTTAGTACTAGAAAAAAAAGAAAAAAAGAACAAGGTAGAGCATTGATTTTAATTAGAGTTTTGTGTAAATTAGCATTAGATACATAATAGAAAGGGAATTACAAACATAAAATTAGAATTTCATAGATGGATTAATTTGTCAAAAATGATGTAATAAGGAGTCATGATTTATAAGCATTAGCTGGAGGATCGATATGTTAGTTTTGCAAACAATAGAAGATAATCTGGAATACAATTATAATAGTGACTTTGAAACCACACATATTGATTAAGAACAAGAAAGTCAATCAGAAGGTTCAAGAATTTCATCTCATTTATCAGCAACTGCTGAAACACCACCTAGTATACAAACAGTCTTAGGAAATAAAGAAAAAGGTATTAAATTATAACAAGAAACTGGGAGTTTAAATATGTTTAATTAGTAGATTTTACTTTTTTTAGACAAATTGTCTAATAGTGCCAAAAATAAGAGACTATACAAATATAGACAACCATCATTTACTTGGGAATACTTTAAAAAGAAAATTGATGACATGAGTGAATAAGTATGAATTTGCCAGATCTTGGATAAAAGTAGACAAAAATGTAAACAAAAGTATAAAAATGTGGAAAGCTCAACTGGAAACCTAATTATGCATCTTAGAGACAAACATGGAATTATTTCACAAGATGATGTAGTAGTTTCAAAAAAGGTAAATAATAGTTGCATAAAACTAAATATAATAAAAATATACTTTATTAATATAAATCTTATTAATACTAATTTTAGATACAAGATTCTAAAATTACCAATTTCATACAAAAAATTTATTCTTATTCCAAATATATTCAAAAAAGACAGGAAGAAGCAGTCCTTAAATGGATATTACTTACAAATCAGTCTCTCTTTACAGTTACTGACAATGCTTATAAAGAGAAAATAGCTGAATTCGATCCTTCTTTTGTTGTCTCTGATAAAAAAAAAATCAGAACCATCATCATTAAAAGTTTTCAATATAATCACGAAAATTTAAAGAATCTTATAAAAATTGTAGAAAATATTTTACTTGCAATAGATTTCTGGTCTAGTAGAGCAAAACACAGATATTTAGGAGTTACTGCAACTTGGATTATATCAAATTTTGAAATAAAAGATGTGATGTTAAAAAATAAATATGTTCCTTCTCCACATACTAGTAAAGTTATTGTCAATGAACTTTATAAATTTATTGAATTTTGGGATCTTAAAAACCATATAACATCAATTACTACTAATAGTAGCTCTAATATGATATCAGCTTTTTCTTTATTAAATCAAAAAGAAGGATATGAAAAAATTAAATGCCTTTCATATATAGCCCATATTATACAGTTAGCAATCAGAAAAGAATTGGCCCCAGCTGAGGTCTTAGTAGCATGTGTAAAATGAATAATTCAGTTTTTTTAAAGTCAAAAACAATTAGAATGATTAAAAGAAGTTCAATTATACTGATATTATTGGTTGTATTCAAGATGTATTCACTCATTGGAACTTGACATATTATGCTTGGGATCGCCTTTATTTTTTAAAAGATACAATTACTCAACTTCAAACTGATTTATACACATCAGCTGATCAAGAAATTAAGAAAGATGATAGCAAATTAAAAGAAATTCTTCTCTCTGATGATAAATAGGAGTTAATAGATAAACTTATTGATTTATTAATGCTATTTAAGGAAATAACAAGAGAATTTTCTGAAAATTCATACATGACATTAAGTCGAGTAATTTCAAAAATTAAAGAAATAATTTTTGATCTAGCAAGTGAAGCACCTTCAAATGATGAATTGTTTTTAGATGAGGATACTGTATTCGAATTAGATACTACAGATATGCAATATATTGATGATAATGAAGTCATTAGCAATATTATAAAAAAAATAATTTTCATTAAAGATCCATTAGATATGACAGGTATTTAGAGGTTTATTTATTTATATTATAACTTAATTATTATGATATTAAATAATATAGACACTGTTAAGAAAAAAAACTATTATTACTTACTATTCTGAATTTAAAAGTTTATAACAAGTTTTTTTTTTGGCAGCACTGTAATGAAAATGAATTACTAAAACCTATATATATAAATTATAAATTACACAAAAAATTACTTATTTTATAACCTGCAGGTATTTTGAAAAAGATCAGAAAAAATATTTATAATGCACTAATATATTATTAGAATGTTCCAAATAATCTTAGTTTAATGGCAACTTTATTAGATCCCTGATATAAAAATTTGAATTTTTTGAAAGATATTGAAAAGCAACAAATTATTCAAAATCTTCATGATGAACTTGGAAAGATAAAAGAAATAACTCTTGAATCAAATAATTTACCTTTATTTAATTTAAAAACTTCAATATGCTCACATAAAGAATATCTTCAGCAGTGCCAAATGAAAAGAAAAAAAGAAGTTCCAAATGTACAAATTCTTGACAAAATTTCAAATTATTTGTTATTACCATTAGCATTAGAAACAGAAAATCCTTTGAAATGGTAGAAAATAAATATAAAAAATTTTCTCAAACTTGCTAAAATCACACAAAAGTATTTGGTAATACTGACAACATCAGTGTCTAGCAAAAGGTTATTTTCAGATGTGAGAAACCTTATTAATGTAAAAAGAACAAGTTTAGATCCAAACTTGGTTGGTCAGATATTATTTCTGAAAAGAAATATTAATACTATGAATGTTTTTGCCTCCGAGTAGAATGATGATAAAGCTGACTAAAAAAAAAAAACTGTCACTATGCTAATAATTGGTAAAGTACTATTTTTTAGTGTAAATTTTTATGAAAATTAAATTACAATTCTAACTATTACACAAATGCTACTTATTGTCAATTATTTAGATCAAAAATTATCTGATTTACATAAATATAATAAAGATAATAAAGGACTAGTAATAGTTTTTAGTTCTTAATTATTTTTTTCAAATTTGGTTCTTTAGATGTTTTAACAATTTTTAGAAATTTTATTAATAGTAAATAGGTCTTAACAATTATATAGTTATGATAAATATTATAGTTAATCAAAAATCAAGAATTGGTTTTGGGCTTCTAAATATAAATAATATAAACACTTTATCAGATCATATTAGTTTTGTAAATACTTTTATAAAACTTTCATTTTTTTATATATAAAGCCTGTGGTGGGTTGTTTTTAAAATTCATATTGTAAGTATGTATGTATATACATACAAGAAAAATTGTATATGTTTGTCTATGATAGTACAAATAACAGAAAACACATTTATATATATGCATACATATGTATGGTATAGGAAATTTAAAAATTTCAAGATAATGCATAAACTAGATACACAATAAAAATAAATCCTAAATTATCAATCCCAATAATAGATAAAGTGAAAGATCTAGAATTCCCAATCTTTTTGCAAAAAAATAATACTGATATGACAAGAATAATCTTAATTGCAACTATGCATACCCAAAATAAGCAGGTTATTGACATATTTAGCTTATCTCAAATGCATTAAATGACTTTTATTCTATATAAAGTAATTTGAGTTCTGCATGTCCTATATTTTGATTGGTTAGTCAATTACTTTTACAGATTAAATCTGAATTTACTCAATTCAGATTATATTCAGATTTAACTGGATATATAAAATAGAATCCGAATTTAATCTAAATGGCCTCTAAAAAGTAGGATTGAAGCTTTAGATATTGGCCAGTTGTTGTTATTATTTTGAAAAGTTAGATTTGTTTGTTGTAGACTAAGTAGCATATGTGCTAAAGAGGTTTTTGCTTCTTTTTGCAGTAGCACATATGTGCTATTGCTTAGGATTAACTTATTACTGAGAGCTGCATTTTGGATTTGTTGTATGCATATTTTATTGTTGAATGTGATATGTTTGAATAGTTTAGTTGCCTGTATATGAGTGAGATATGCTGCTATATTTGGATGTCTGTTACTGTTCACAAACCATATATGTGGTAGTGAAAGAGTGTTGAATTAGATATGGTTTATGCTAAACCAGTCTTGTGTTTTACTACTGTTGTGTAGTTGTTTGTAATTGATTTATACAAGTATAGTGGCAAATAAGTCTTCTGGACCTTATATACAATTCTTGTTAAAATAACTGCATTGATAATATATATAGCTTACTTTTCTGTAATGTTTGTATTTTTAATTCTTTTTATAGGATGTTCAGCTTCTTTTTTTATAATTTTGTGGATTGGTTTGTGGTTTTTATAGGTGGTGTACTAGCATCTTAGAAATCTGAAGGCCTTCTTTGGTTGTATTGCTTCTATTATTGTATTGTCATAGATTATATTTTTGCTTATATTTTTCAAATTGGTTACTGCCAATATTGATTTGTTAAGGTTTACTTTTATGTTTGTAAGAGAGAAAAATGAGCTTGTAATCTTTATAATTGCTTGTAGTTCCTGTTGGGATTGAGCTATCTATATAGTGTCATCCATATATGCTAATGCTGACAAGTTCATCTTTTTCTATTATTTTCTGTATATGTAGTACTTAGTATATAACCTGTTATATTGTTATGTATAGTCATAAGTAGTAGGTTATAGTAAATGCACCACAGAAAAGATGCTATCGTCTCTTCTTGATCTATATCATCATTTACTTCATATAGTTCTGTGAGACCAAACTTTGTTATTATGTAATTATATTGATTAGTGAAAATGTTTGTAATTAGTTCTGTTATTTCTTCTGGTATCTGTATTCTTTGCAATGCTTTTTGAGTAGAGGAATATGGATTGTATTTTATGCTTTTGATATATCTTGGCTTAAAAGCTATAGTTCCTTATTTTGAATTTAAGCATCCTCTAAGATGTGACTGATCATTATGATTGGTGTTTGTATAGAGGTATTAGAAATTGCAACATAATTGCTTAGGTGTAGAATTGGATATTTGGTAAATATTGTGTTTAGTTGTTTTGTTATGATTTTTGTGAAGATTTTCTTTATATGTTCAATTAAAGTAATTAGACATGTCTCATTAAGCTTTCCTAAAAATTTTTGCTTTTTCGATATTAAATATATATTGCTTTGCTTTTATATTTTAGAAATTGTTTTAAGTGAAAGGCATGCATTAAAAATTTTAAATAGAAGATTGCAAGTGTATGTATCTATATGTTTTAGCATTTCATTTGATATTTGTTGTAGTCCTGTTGCCTTGCTATTCAGTGATTTCTGTAGATTGGTTTGTAGTTCTTGTGTTGTTATAGGATTTAGTAAAATATTGTACCAGGACTTGTCTATTCTTCTATGTGGCTAATATTGTTTTTGCCATTTTGTCCAGTAACTATCATTTGTAGAATTGCTTTTTGTCTATTCTTCAAAGTGCTTTTTGATTTTTTTTTTTTGATTGCTTGCAGTTCTGTTATGATTTTGTTTATATGTGTAATGTTGTTAAGTATAACTGAATCTGTATGTCTTTGTAGTATACTGTTAATTATCTTCATGGTATTGGTTGAGAAGTTGTTATGTCTCTTTATTATGTTATTTTAAATTTTTTTGCTTATGAGCTATATTGTTTTCTATTTTTTAGGTCTGGTATATCATTTTTTGTTGATGTCTTAGTAGTTTAATAGTGTCTTTTAGCGGTGTGTTAGTGTTTTGTATAAGATTGAGCTTAGGTAATTGTATTTCTGTATAGTTATTAATCTTGTCAATATTGTTATTAATTTCTTGAGTTGATATTGCAGCTATATTTTGATTATTTCTTTTTAAATATGTTATTGTTTGGTTAATTTTTTGCAAAGCAGTATAAAGCTTTGTAGCTTTTTTGAAGAATGCATAATGTAGTTTGAAACTTGTTTTAATTTTAGATATGTTGTTATTAGCTATCTGTTTGATTGCTTGATTTAGAATATTTCAGCTTTTGTTTAGTTCCTCTTCTGTAGTAATCTCTTGGTTGAGTTTATTTTCTTTCTTTTTTATATACTTATTGATGTTATTCTTAAAATCTGTCCAGTCATCTAATATCATTTTGTTGTATAAAAAGATTGTTCATTGTCTTGTTTTGGGTCTATATTTTTTAATGCTTATGTTTGTTTGCTATGTTGTTGTAATTATACTATGATCACTATCTGTTATCAGTTCAGCACTAATTATTTCAGATTGGTCTATATTGAGTATTAATATGTTAGATATCTATATGTTATCAATCTGGCTGTATAGAGGTCCTCTTGTCCAGGTAGGTAAGTTAATGTCGAAGTAATTTAAAAGGTTATTCATTCCTTGAGATTTCATCATTGTAAAGAGTTGCAACATAGATTGAGCCTTTCATTTTTGTCTATCAAAATTAAAATTTTCAAGAACTATAGTACTGTAATTATGTGCATAGCTATATGTAACTTATTTAATAATTTTTTTTTGTGTATTATCACTTAGCACTTTGTTATTAGATAGCAAGTAAACAGATATAATTCTTGTTTTTTGGCTTTGTGAAAAAAAGAAGTTAATTGCGATTGCTGTGCCTTCTAGTATTATAATATTGTATATATATAGCTTCAAAAATTTGAATACTGCTATCATTATGCCTATACTTGATTCTTGCTTTTTTGCAATTTTGCTAGTACAGTTTGATGTGTATATATTGTAATAGGGATTTAGTAACTTAAATCTAGTGTGTGTTAATTCAGCAAGCTTTGTTTCAGTTATGCTAACTATGTTGTAATTATTTTTATAGCAGTATTCTAGCCATATTGCATCTTAAGTTTGTCATTTGCACCTTGTATGTTATGTGTTATTATTTTTATATTATCTAATAAGTTATTATTTGTTAGAAGTTATTTAGATGTTTCTATTGTACTGTTTATATTTAGATTAGTTGACATTTAATTTATATAAAGATGTCCCATTTTGGTTCTGGGAGTGGTAGTAGTTGTAGTAGATAGTCAGGTATTGTTTCGATATTAAAGTATTGGCATAGAGTTATCAAGATGTTTGTAATATCTTCTTGTTGATTTATAAATATGTTAATATATATCAGATCTGTAATTTTTTCTAATTTCTTCTGCAGTTCTGTTAGAGTTTGGGGAATATTGGGTTTGTTTTGTTTATTGTCTGTTGTTTTATTTGATTGTAATTGGTTTGCTTGTTAATCTATTTGAATCCAATTTGTTGGAATCTTATAAAAAAAATAGGTTTCTCTAAGTAATCTTGCTGTTTGTATGAGTGCTTTAGGTGTTGTTATTGGTAAAGTCAGATTGTATTTTGTTATTTGTTGTAGGTCTTCTGATAGGTCAGGTTTGTTTGTAGAGTTTACTGTCATGATATGTGATAGTAAAGGAAGCAAAAATTTGTATCATAGTCTAATTTGTTGGATAAACTTTTTTGTTTATAGTTTTTCGGTTATTGGATATATAGAGCTATCAGTTGTTTTAATTTCACTAGTTTCTTTGAGCAAGTATGGCTTTGCTAGAAAGTAGTTATTGGGTAATCTTTTAAAGAAATAATCTTCTCATAATAATTGGATTGTTTCTTTAATATCTGTGTTTGGGTCTTGTAGGTCTATAGGAAAGTAGAGTCTATATATAGGCTCTAAATCTTGGTAAGCTGCTAGTAATGGTTTTTTTGAAGGTAGTAGGTTAAAATAGTTACTTGGAATTCTATCAAAAAGTAGTAATTTCTTAGTTACCTTGTTATGTTTGTAAGTTCTCTTAATTGGCTTCTCTCTGTAATTGAGAAGAGATGTTTGATTTTAGAATTTAATTCCTTCACTGAGTCAGGCAGTAGTTCTAGTAATGTAAAGTAGGTGTTTAGTAGTTTATTAAAGTGGTATATTCTGTATAGAGCTGCAATGACAACTTTGATATATTCTCTATGTCATATAGGTAAGTTGAAGGGAAGTATTTGAATGATATTTGTTAAAATTTGGTTAGGATCTGTTAATAATTGCTATAAATAAGCAGTTGTTACTTTTTGTACAATCTCATATAGATCTGGGTTGTTTTCTATAGTTCTATCTTTGGTGAATCCTTTGTAATATTTGATAAGATAGAATATTTGTTTTGTTGTCATCTTATAGAAATTTGTATTAGTTAGGTAGTTGATTATTATTTTTTGTTATAGTTTTTAATGAATTAAATCTCTTGTTTTTCTATCAGTAATGGTTATTTTGTTAGTTAGTTTATACTTCTTCAGTGCTTCTTAAAACAAGTTTTCATAGGCTTCTTGGTGTTGTGGCATTGATTTTTTTACTCTAGTAAAGATAAGAAAGAATGTGGCATCTCTATGTCTAAACTTAGCTTCAATTGCTAGATGTAATGCCTAGTTTGTTGGCTTAGTTTGCATTTTGTATTTGATGAAGTCTTGAATTCCTTCTTCACTTTTTAGTGCTTTTACTATTTTGTCATAGTTTCATATAGTTTTGTCAAATGCTTTGTGTACCTCTTCTTCTAATTTTTTGTTTATCTCTTGTATCCATTCTTCTGTGAAGTCATTTTGTTTTGTGCTTTGTGTGTTGCTTCTGTGTGCTATATTTTTTTGTGCTATTTGGCTGTATATTGCTCATGATAGTGCTTGTCTGCTGTTGTATTACTTTCTTGTTGCTGTCTATTACCTTTTATTTTTATTTGGTTACTATCTACTATTTCCATGTTTTGATTTCCAGTAGTTTCTGCTTGGTTGTTACATTTAAT